CCCTCTCTCTCTCTCTCTCTCTCTCTCTCTCACACACACACACTTCTTTAAAAAAAAGTATTAGAAGAAATATCTTTATGAACTTGAGTTGGGAAACAATTTCCTAGACAAGCTACAAAAAGCACAACTCATAAAAGGTTAATAAATCTAAATAGATGAAAATTCAAAACTTGTGTTCTACAATATAATTCATAAATGAAGTAAAAAGACAAGCCACAGACCATAAGAAAATTTTGTATATAACACAAATTTTTGGTATCCAGAATGTAAAAAGAACTAACCAAACTTTTAAGAAAAAGATAAACCCATGGAGAGATAGGCCAAAAATATAATAGGCAAGTCAGAGAAGAGAAAAGGAGACTGGCTAATAAACGGATGAAAAGACCTTCAACCCTCACAGGAGGAAATGCCAAATATTTAGATACCACTTTACAACCATTCGATTGGCAAAAATCAGAAGTCTGACCAAGCACTGGTGAGGGTGTGGGGAAACACTCATAATCATGGCAGACTGGAGTGTACACTGGTGCAACCACTCCAGGGAGGGATTTAGCAATATCCAGTAAAAAGGAAGGGAAGCACACTCGTGAGCCAACACCGCCACTTCTAGATACATTTCTGAAAGAAATCTTGCACATGTTCCCCCAAGAGAAATGTATAAAAATGTTCATTGGTACATAGTTTGTGGAAGAAAAAAAAAATGGAAACAATCTAAATGTTTTCATCAATGGGAGAACAGAATAATAAATGACCAGGTACTCATAAGACGGAACACCAAACAACTATTGAAATGAATTAAGTACATCCGGATGCATCGAAACATGGATAGATTCGGTTGAAGGGGAGAGCTCCACGCAGAATTACAGGTAGCAGTACGATAATATTTACCTGTATCTTTAAAACACAAAAAGTCATACTATATATTGCTCATGAATACCCACAACTAAATAAAATATAATGACAGGCATGGGAATGAGAAACAGCAAATTCACAACAGAGGTTACTTCTGCGGATGGAGGGGACCAAAAGGGACTTGAACTTTTAGGAAAGCTCTCTCACTAAAAAAAAAAAAAAAAAAAATCTGAAGCAAAAATATCCAAGTATTTTTTTTTTATTTCTGATTTTTTTATCCATGAGTGTTTCTGGCATTATTTTCTGTACTTTTTGACTTGATTTTTTTTTCCATCAGCAACCCATGTCTTTTTTAACAACTCCGATCAGAGGCTTAGAGGAAGAGAAACATAAAACTGGTTAAGTTAAGGTTTGGGAAGTCTATGAATTTCTGCCAACAGTGCTAGTTTTGTTTCCTATCATCCAAGGGAATGAGAAGTTATGTGGGCATAGTAAAATCTCCACGTGATGAACCCCACTAAGACAACATTACGGGGAAGATGTCAAGGCCAGTTCTCCCAAAGTGTGCACCTCACCTCACGCACGTGTCTCTTCAGGTACATGTAGACACTCTGTCCAGTTTTTCGAAAATGTCTTTCCACATGCTCCCTTCCAAAGGCCAAAAATGTATTCATGCATACATAGAGTCCACCTTCAGAATTCTAGAAGAAAGAGACAGGTTACATTAGTCAAGTAGTCTAGACACAGAAAAAGGGAAGGGGAAGGAAGGCAAATGATGACAAACAATGAACACAAAGTCTGGCCATCGTAGTCATCTCCAGTGACCTCCGAGGGCTCACAGTCACCCAGAGGCAGCTCCCGCCACAACCCTGGGTTCCCGGTGCTCCCAGACAGCTGAGCACGGTCTCACAGGCAAGCAGATACTCAGAGGCCTTGGGAAATAAACATGCCTGCCTGACTTTCCAAACTGGGGTAAGGGACAATCACGGATAGAAGAACGTTGGCAACTGATCCAACGACTGTCACTTCATAAAATAATGTTATTTTTTTACTTTTATTGAGGTATAGTTGAGTTACAGTGTTGTGTTAATTTCTGCTGTAAAGCAAAGTGATTCAGGGCTTCCCTGGTGGCGCAGTGGTTAAGAATCCGCCTGCCAATGCAAGGAACATGGGTTCAAGCCCTGGTCCGGGAAGATCCCACGTGCTGCAGAGCAACTAAGCCCGTGCGCCATGACTACGGAGCCTGCCCTCTAGAGCCTGCAAGCCACAGCTACTAAAGCCTGCGTGCCACAACTACTGAAGGCTGTGTGCCACAACTACTGAAGCCCACATGCCTAGAGCCCATGCTCCGCAACAAGAGAAGCCACCGCAATGAGAAGCCCGTGCACTACGAAGAGTAGCCCCCACTCCGCAACTAAAGAAAGCCTGCGTGCAGCAACGAAGACCCAATGCAGCCAAAAATAAATAAATAAATAAATTTATTTTTTTTAAAGTGATTCAGTTATACATATATATATTCTTTTTCATATGCTTCTCCATTATGGTTTATCATGATATTGATTATAGTTCCTTGTGCTATACAGTACACCTTGTTGTCTATCCATCCTATATATAATAGTTTGTATCTGCTAATCCCAAATTCTCAATCCTTCCCTCCCCCAACCCCTCCCCCTTGGCAACCACAAGTCTGTTCTCTATGTAACGACCATCAGTTCAATGGTTCATCATCGTTCTTCCTCATTGGTCACTGCAAGTCTCCAGAACATACAGTCTTTCTATCCTTTTAGCAGGACAGGATGCTTCAAAGATATTGTTCCCTTCCTTTGGTGATGCATATTTGACGGTACCCATTAATAAATGATAACAATTCAAGAAATAAATAATAACATAATAAGTAAATAATAAAAGATGGAGTCCTCAAATTATTACATGCCTGATATGTGCCAGGTGATTTGCACATATTATTTCTAATCCCAACAATACTGCAAGCTGCTAGTATTACTTCTATTTTATAGTTTAAAAAAAAACTGATAAGTCACTTGCCCAAGTTCACACAGCTTGGAAGTATCAGAATTAAATCTGAATCTATTTCTCTTTTATCCCTCTCTGCCATACTTCAAATATTATTTAGTTATAGACATACTGCTACAATGAACAGGCAAGGATATTGTTCACATTTAAAATACTTGATTTTCAGGACTTCCCTGGAGGTCCAGTGGTTAAGACTTCACGTTTACACCGCAGGGGGCCCGGGTTCCATCCCCAGTCTCCCTGGTCGGGGAACTAAGATCCCACAAGCCCCAAGACATGGCTTAAATAAATAAATAAGATACTTTTCTATCCCAATTTCCTCTCTCCTTTTCTCTCACTTTGCTTAATGTGCTTCTCCATAAACTTAGCCTATACAATTAGCCATCCTTTCCTCAATGGAAATGGATTTTTATTACGATCCTATTAGTCTCACCCCTCCAAATAATTCTTTAAAAAACAAAAATTTTAAATACCTGTTAGAATTTGCCAACAAACACCTACCAAAATTCCTTGCAATGAATTTTAGTAGAGCACAAATTACAGTATCAAAAACAGACACTGATGCTCATTACAAATATATGAAAAATAATTTTTAAAGTTCCAATAACTCAAGATTGTTTATTTTTTTAATTTCAAATAAAATTTTCCAACATCGTATCTATGATTTATAAGCCAGACATAAAGAAGCCTTGTCACAACAAGAACACTATAACAGGGGCTTCCCTGGTGGCACAGTGGTTAAGAATCCTCCTGCCAATGCAGGGGACACGGGTTTGAGCCCTGGTCCGGGAAGATCCCACATGCCTCAGAGCAACTAAGCCCGTGAGCCACGACTACTGAAGTCCACACACCTAGAGCCCGTGCTCTGCAACAAGAGGAGCCACCGCAATGAGAAGCCCGCGCACTGCAATGAAGAGTAGCTCCCGATCGCCACAACTAGAGAAAACCCGCGCACAGCAACGAAGACCCAACGCAGCCAAAAAAAATGACATCACTAGAATAAAATTAGAGAAGTTCTTCAACTAGGGGCAACACATTACATTCACCTGATCAACAGATTAGATAAATATTTTCAAAAGATTTTTTAAATAAACATATTCTTTTGCATAGTCATAATCCTTAAGAAAAAAATATTGCATCATTATAATGGTCAGCTATTCATTAAGCCCATTAAATTGAGCATCCCATAGTGTGATTTAAATAAAAAAAGAACAACACTTCCATTCTCTTCCAACAAAATGTAATTCGATCAAAAAGAACTCAAACCAGAAGATATAATGGGGGAAATATGAGATTTGTAAGCAGAGGTCCTAAACTGCCACTACTTAGCTCTGTTGCCTAAACAGCTTGTCAGATAGTCTCTGGGCTTCAGTATTTTCCTCAATAAACATGGCTTTAGCAATAATTCCCAAGGTTTCGTGAAGTTCAAAGGTGATGAAACACCCTCCATGCTATAAATTATTACATAAACATTGATAATTATTTATTACGAGCTAAAAGGTCTGTGTGCTACGTGTATCTCCTATTACCACAAGTATTTTATAATTGGGGGGAGAAGCAGAAGGAAGAAAAAAGTGAGCCTGACAGCCACACAGGCTGGCGATAACAAATATTAATCTGTCAGAAAATGTAGTAGGCAACTAGTGGGAGAAGCAGGAAATTAGCAAGCAGCAGAAGAAAAACATTCAAGCATAGCATTTTTCTGAAGAAAAATATAGAATAGCTATGTGATGCGAGAGTATATAGTCTCTAAAATAATCATACAATCTTTGCTAACTTCATTGCCAAGAATTTTTTACTTATTAGGGAATTTGATAAAAATTTAATATGCCAAACATTCAATCTCAAATCTCTGGAGTCACTTGATATTGTCACAAAGTCCATAATCAAAGAAAAAAATGCTTTGGCACTCATAGATGACCCCACATCGTGAAGGATTCTATTACAAACATCCAAGGACATCTTCCATCCCACATATGGGCTGGCCTCGGAAACAGCACATGCCCCTCTCTAGCGGCTCTGAGATGGAAGCACTGCCCAAGGGACTTCCCAGAAGTTCTAAAAATTCAAGACACACTGAGACAGAAAAACCCTTTAAAAGCTACCCCATATAGAACAAAACACCCCAGTCTAATGATCTACACTTTCTTCCCTCTTGCCTCATTATTGTCTAACTATTGGTCCTATAAGACTCTTTCACATACAAAATCAATACTCCATGCCATGTGCTCTGAGTGGCTTCTCTCACTAGTGATGACAAGTCTGTGCTGACACATCTCAACCAGATTCCTTTGTGACCAAAGCACAGAGACTGGTTTATAGCCTGGGATCAGAGCTAAGCTAGTTGACTCTTAAGAGTTTTCAAATCCTCACCCTCATCCTCTCATAGACCACCCACACCTGCACTAAGATCACTGCCCCAGAAAGCACTATAAAGCACTTGCCTTCATGTGGCCAATAGTGCAGCCAAGAAATCAGGAAGGACCTTCTTGTATAAGTACTGCTAAAACTGCAGAAACCAAGGATCACATCTTGGTTTTTGTAATAATGCTAGCAGAGTACACACAAGAAAAAAGTAACTGCGCTAGATGGTAAAGATGGGGATGAACCACCTCTTTCTTAATATCCAGTGTCTTTTGTCTTAAGATTTGGTGTGATATGTCTTTAGAAAAAAATTAAAATTTTAAATGTTTTAAAAAAAGAAACCAGGCAGGTTAGAGAACCGTACAAATTGACAGTGAAATGCAGCTCAAAGAATAAGAGGGCAGAATACAAACTAATGCATTTTTCAAGTAATAGTGGTAGAGTGTTTACTAAAATAGATTACAATAAAATTCACATATATTGGGCTAATTTTTTAACAAACGGTAGCATAAGAATGGAGATTCCAAAAATACATTCATTCTATGATAATTGCTTAATATACGTCAAACCACAAGATACACAAAAATAAGGGGGGGGGGGTAGAAATCACTAATAAAAGTTACTGGGAGAGTTACACAGCAGTATAGAAGAAAATTAATCTAGATACATATCTTACACCAAACACTATAACGAGGTCCAGATAGATCCAGGAGAAAAGCATCTAAAAAACTAGAAAAAAGAGCAGAATAGCATATTTATCCTACTTGTGAAGGGGAAAATAATTTCTGGCCAAGAAAATACATAATATCAAAAGAGATGGAGTAGTTGAGTATAAAAATGTAAACACTAAAGAACAAGTTTTGCATTACAAAATATAAGGAAACAAACAGAAAAGCAACAATAACAGAATGAGATAAGACGTAAAGTATAATGAAGAAAAGATTATATCCAAACCATGTAAAAAGTGATAAAATTATTGATACAAGATGTCAACATTCAGGTTCAACTTGGTAAGAGCTCGCTGTTGTTTTTTTAAAGATCGTTTAGTTTTAACTGTAAGAAAATACTAAAATCAAATCATCATCACTACCTCCTGAAGTAAGCAATTAAAACAATCTCGAGGCAATTATTCACCTACTAAACTAGCAAAAAGTACACAGCCTGAAGCCGCGGAGAAAACCTGTATATTTACTCCCACAATATAAATCGGTTCCACCCTTCTAGAGAGCAATAAAACTGTGACCTTTGACACAGTATTTCTCCTTTGAGTATAACCGCAGGAACCCAACAGTAAGGAACCCAACAG